CAGCTTATGCATAATTGAGAATGGCTGCCCTAATGCAAAGCTGAACAAAGGACATAAGATATGGACTTGTTCCTGTACTTTGAATAGATATTCTAATTTATTGATGCCCAGGCTGGTTCTTGCCCCAACTTTAATCTATTAGATACATTTCTAAGAAACCCTAGAAAAATTAGGGTATCCCAACTGTTTTATGGATACTGTAGCCCCAAATCCAAAATATTTTCTAAAAAATAAGAAAAATGCCATGTGAGATTTGCCTGTGAAATAAAAATAAACTGAGATGGCTGCTCTAATGCAAAGCTGAACATAGGATATAAGATACGGACTTGTTCCTGTACTTTGAATAGGTATTCTTAGAGCTGTAAAACGGGCTGTGCTGGGTCGGTATGGCATGGCCCGCACAAAGTGCAGGTTGTGCTGTGCCAGCCAGCAGGCCATCTCATGCTGTGCCTCCTTCTTCTGGGATATTTTGGGGGGTTGGCCCTCGCGTAGGCCCGTGCCGTGTCATGCCATGCCGTGGGTTTGGGCCAGGCAGGTTGCAAGTCGTGCCATGGGCTTGGGCTGAACCGAGCTAGAAAGGCCCAAACTATTTTTTTTTGTTGTTTTTTTTCTTTTGACATTTTAATTTTTTTCAACTTTTTTATTAAGTAAAACTAAAATACTTAATTTTCCTTTGGAAACAAGTTGAAAAAAAAAATCTAACAAAGAAATGAAAAAAAAATACTTACCAAAATACAAAATGGACAACAAAATGAAAAAAAATAGAAATTTTATTTCATTTAAAATATAAAAAAATTAAAAATTGAAAATAAAAAACTACATTGTTGAAAAAATAACAAATAATTTAAATAAAATTGAAAAAAACTACTCCATCTCCTTGACTTCAATCATCTGCTTCATCAGGTGTAGTAGTGTCATGCCCTTCTTTGTCTTGTAATTTATCCTTAGGATCTAGCAAATCCTTAAAATAGATGTCTTTTTCTTATTTCTCAAGGAAAAGAAAATGTCTGCCCAAGTGGCCAATACCACCCTTGATACTAAAGCTAAAATCAATCCTACATTTTTGGCAAATGAATCTTTTTCCCTTTCACTCAACCTCCATTTTAAATACTTTCCGAATCGGGCTAGTGAACTTACTATTGGAGAATTGGTTTGGGGAGGAGGAGCTGGCCATTTTTTTAATTCTAAAAAAATAATTTAATTGAACTTACACGGATGGCTGAATTACTAGTTCAAATCTCAACTTGATTTCAACGATTGAAGCCTCAAAGGACAAAGTCTCTTAAATTGCTAAGTGTATAACACTATGGCAGTATGAGATGAGAGACTAAGAGAGCATGGGATAATGAGAATAAAGAATTAAGAAGAGAATTCAGAATTGTTGAATTGGTATTGATGAGAATGGTGGAGGATAGGGCTATTTATAGAAATTGAAAATAATTCAATTGCCCAAAATACTCTAAAAACTAGCCATTTTTTAATTATTGGGAGCGTTATTTTGGTCATTGTAAAGTCATTTGTCACTTTATCCAAATGCCCCCAAAGTCCAAAACTAGCTGTTATATTATAGGATATAGATGTTAGAGGGGCATTATTGTCTTTTTTCCCCTAGAGCCAAAATACATAAGTACCCCCCCTATATAGCTATTTATAGGCTTATAGTTGCTGCACTCGGCCCATTGCGGGCCCATGGTCCGGGCTGTTCCATGCCAGTGCATGGGCCACGGGCAGGAACAGCATGGCGTACTGGCCTGTGGACCTGAAACCCCCAACCCAACACAGCCCACACAATCGTGTCATACCTAGCATGACCCACATGTTGTCATGTCGGGCCGTGCTGGGCTGGTGCAAAATCTTACAGCTCTAGGTTGATACCCACTGCCCAGGCTGGTTCTTTGCCTAACCTTAATCTATTAGATGCATTTCTAGAAAACCCTAGCAAAATTAGGGTACCCAAACTGTTTTATTGATCTTGTAGCCCCAAATCCAAAATATTTCCCAAAAGATAGGAAAAATGCCATGTGAGATTTGCCTGTGAAATTAGTTTTCGTGGCAACTCCCTGTATTTGCTAGGGCACAACCCTAAAGTGAGAAAGGGATGCTTGTGGAAACCAAAATTGACATTTGAGAATGAGAGATGATTTCCCTGGAATTACTCAGTGAGAAATTGGAGAAATCTTTATTCACACACTCCAAATGGAAAACGAAATTATTGAGGCATAAGATACTTTTTCAACCTTTCACACAGGCGGCAATATAGGAGCTCTCACTTTTCAGCCAAATGGAGGTCCTTTGTCCACATATGCCTGTATCCGTTTACTCCAATTTCTGATCCCATATGTGATTTCCACTGTGGCAACTTTGCTATTTGACCATCACTCTTAATTTCCTCTTTTTCCTGAACAAACAATGGTGAACAGGCTGACTCCTTTTCCCATGTGGCATATGGGTTTTGGCTTGAAACTTCTAACATGGCAACAAGGCAAAAGGAAAGAAACAAGTGAACCCATCTCGGGATTTCATCTGTGCTTCCATCTGCAAAAGTAAAAATGAAAAAAACAGGATTTGGAATCTCCCGTTCAAACAAGAAACTCACCCAAGACCATACCCAATTGTTCTCTGTTGAGTTACTTGTAACAGCCCATAGTTATCTTTGAACCTGTGGAGCTGGCCTACTACCAGTACCTTGTTCAATGCATCAGCAGATCCAATGTTTTACACTTACCCAATTCCAAATAAAGGCCACACCAGAGGTCAGGCTGCCCTTTTGTCCCTTCTTCAATATGGGCCCTAATGCCTACTTGTGGGTAGGTACCATCCATGAATGAGGAGCATTGGATGTGAGACTGATCAGATGGGTAGCACAAATGTCCCTTCAATTGTGGATCGAGTTGTTCAGTTCTATTCAATTTGATTGTTTAGAGCATTCCTAATTGTGAATGAAATCGCTTTTCAGAAGCAATACTAACAATAAAAATTTATAAAGAACGTGAGGTCCATCATTTTCCATCCTAAGATGGACCCATGTTGTAAAGCAAATGTAGCCCATCGTACGAGAAAGTGAAATTGGGGTTGTTGGGTTATTCTTAGTGGGCCATCTTTTACAGAGTAGCCCAGGAAATCTGAAAAGAAATGAATAAGAAAGTGTAGACATTGATTTCAACAGGAGTCTGCTACCGGTTGCCAGACAAAGAAGCTTTGTGTCCACAAATCTGCACGTGATTATGAACACAATTCGTATTAATTTTAATTTTTTTATAAACCCTGTTTGTTTTCCTCTCTTCTTCTTCTTCTTCTTATTTTTCTTCTTCCTTCTTTCCATCTATCAGTCTGGTGTTTTGCTGCCTAAAGTTTTTGGGATATGAAACCCTATCCCATGTCTAGGGCTGCAACTTGGATAGGATTAATCCGAATCCAGTTCAAAAAAATAGGGTTAAATTGAAGTTTAGATTCGGATTAGGGTTGATAAGTATGAACCCAATTTAATTTTAGGTTGAGTTAGGCCAAATTGAGACACGGACTAATCTAATTTAATTTTTTTCATATTTATATGTACAAATATCATATAAATATGTATTTATGCATGCCAGCATATATATATAATTAACATGAACCCTTAAAGTTTAAGAAGTAAGCAAAATTGGCAAAAAGAAATAGAAGAATTGGACCAATCCAAGACTAACTCAAACCCAATTTGAGCCCAACCTAAACCTAACCTGACCAACCAACCCAAAATTTTAAGGTTGGGGATTCAACAAGTTGAGTTGGGTTAGGGTTGACCTCAACACGACCTAACCCGGCTCACCCCTTTATGTCTATCTACTTCCTTTTATGTTAGGGTCTGAAAACCTGAATACATTTCTTTTGTTTGTTTGCACAGAGCTCATGTGTATTCATCATTTATTTTTTTTATAATAATTAGACTGCACTAATGACATGAATATAGAACTAGATGATTCTTAATTTTTAATTATCATCTCATCAAACAAAAATGCTAGAATATACAAGTTTTGCCTTAGATTTCACATAGTTGTTTTCTAGTCATTTGATGCTTATACATTTTCATAGAAAAGCAATTATATACCCAAAGCTTGGTGAAAATTAGGTTTTTCTTTGATGTTTTATAGAAAAATGTTTCTCTTTCTACAAAATCTCTCTCTCTCTCTGATGAATTTGGTAATTCAACAACTACCCAAAACCTATCACTGTCTTCTGCTTGATCTCCTGGGCCCACTCCACAAAGTGCATATTGATTGAAAGATCCTGACCATCTAATCAATCACTTAAGATCACACCCAAGCATAAGAGCAGAGGACTAGTGTAAATTTGTATACTTTTATTTGCCTAAGTGGGCATCAGAATTTCTCAGAGAATAATAACAAGAACCCTCCTCAGGCCCAATTCATGGAATCAAAACACCAAAATAGGTTTTAGTCCAAGGGAGTGGACACTACTCAATGTAGAACGCATCAAAACCTTTTCCAACAACAGACCAAGCACATGATTTGTTCAAAAAGCTTGAAGAAACATAATGGAGATAAGGATCAAAAGGTCATAAGATTCTCTCTCCTTCCATTTTATAATCTGATTACAATCTTGGTCAGGGGGTCCATTTCAAGATAAGTGACCCCACCACTTAGAAAGGATTGAACAAGGTCCTGGTTGGCCTCCACGTGTCCACTATGACTTGTAAGGGAGGGATATTCTCAAGCTTAGTTTGATCATGGTTCCACTTCAGGAGCCCAGTTTTCTGGGATTCTCTTGGTAATGGCGATTTATAATTACAACCTGAAATCCATTAATATTAACTTAAGCATCCAAATCTTTACCCAGTTTTTATTTAAACATAAAAATTCAGAAAACCCCAAATGTGCGCACCCTGCGCACTGTAGTCTGTCATCGGTTCTTAGCTCTTGCTTTGTTCGCTTCACCACTAGACTTGGCTTCTGAGAAACCAAATTGACCAAGTAGACAGATAGAACTCAGAATTCAAAGGCAAGAAAGAAATTATTCCAAAAATCTTTATTGAGCGTTCCTTAGTATTTATTCTTGTTTCTCTGTCAAAAAAAAAATAATAAAATAAAACTACAACGAATGAGGAATAAAGAGCGAAGAGAATGAAATTTGGGTGTCATGATTCCAGGAATCCGGTCAATCGGAGAATGGAATTCCTGACTTTGCTCAAATCACGACCCTTGAGGGTCCTGCCGTTGCCGGTGCAAACAGAGAAGGCCATCTTTCCGTCTATCCTCCGAGAGACCAACAAGTGGGGCGGCACCATCTCTCCGTCCTCGTAGTAGTCATCATCCCCCTCGTCGGAATCTTGGAAATGCAACCAAGAACGGCCGGCCATGGCGTCGGGTATGGTAACCGGAACAGAGCTGCTGGTTTTCTTGACTTTCTTGATAAGCAGTAGTCGCCTCGAATTAACAAACCCATGTTTGTCGTCGTCGTCATGGTCGACGGTGCTGCTGCTGCTGGTGATGCGAGAATCGTAATTGTCTCGGTGGCGGTGGTGGTCGGGCCAGAAAACTTCGGACTCCTGGAATTCTTCGTCGGCCATTTCTGGGTTGAGATGGGAGAAGGATTGGAAAATTGGGAGGTGGGAGAGGGGGAATATATAGTAGTGGAGGGAAGTGCATGTGTTTGGTTGATGGGAATAGGGGAGAGGTGTCGTGTTCGTGTATCGTGGAATCTGAAATTGAATGTATCGTAGTCTGTACACTTTGGTTGTTCTTCGTTTGGATGACGTCACCATAAAAGCGTTGAGTGCGGTCCCCGTCTCTCTCTCTCCTCTCTCTCTCTTCTTACTCAGTAATTCGTAATTAATTAACGAATAACGACAATGACTCAACTCGGCGCCAAATCCAAACGGCTTGCTTCCATTCATTAGTTGGGCTTGGGCTCGGGCTCAATTGTTCGGCTCCGCTTTGGTCCAAATGGTCAGCCCATGACGTTTTTTAAAAATAAAAAAAAAATCTAAAATTTGTTTCAGGGTTGAATTTAATGGTTCAATCATCTGGGTCAATGGTTTATTGATTAATTTAAGGGTTTTTATGAAAATTTGGGTTTGGTAAAAATAAAATCGGATAAGTGATTGATTTTTAGGTCAAATGGTTTGACCGTTCAGGTCATTGACAGTTTTAAAACCATAAACTTACAATGCATTAGATTTGTATTCAGTGTCCCTTTGCCCGAATTTAAACTTAAAGGATGATCCGAATTTGATCCGTCTATAATTGAATAGATTATGGATCAAATGTGGATGTATTCCATTTGATCCGATTCATTTACAGCCCCTATAATAATAATTATATTAACTAAGTTGGTTCAAATATCTTATTTTCATTAAGGCTATGTTTGATTGCAATGCAAATAAATTTGTATTGATGTAAAATCATGATAGTACAAATGCTTTGAGTGTAAATTCTAACCTATTTTTATTTTAAATTTTAACTTATTTTGTTTGATTGCAATACGAATGAAGTAAATTAAGACATGAAGCAGAATAAAGTAAAATCCAAAACAAAATTAAACAAGAATTTGCATTTTTTATATTTGCGCTCCCATGCATATGTACTAGTACAAATAAAATTGCATTGCGACCAAACACAGTCTAAAAGATTATAAGTAGATATCCCCAATTCTATTATTCGGCTTGTGCTTGTTTAAGTGTACAATCTACCATCCTTTTCTCTCTATTTTTTTGGTTGAACAGTATGAATGAAAAGGTGAAGGTCCATTTACTATGTCCATGGCCCCATGTAGACATTTTCTTTCAATAATTCGTTAGGATAAAGTAGGGTTTGATTCTACACTTCCATTTTTGGAGGGAGATCGAATAACCATCTCAACCACTTAGTTTGTTGGTTTAATTGTTGGTCTCTCCTTTCCAAAGACTTATAATATAATAAATATAAAGCTAGAAACACCCAATTTAAACCCTAAAAATAAATATTTCAATTGCTACACAGTTGGTTATAGTATGAATTGTTTTGATTGGGGTTATCAGCTCTTTTGTTTCTAGCAGATCAGGAGGTGTTTTATTTTATTTTTTCTCAAAAACAATGGAGTAGCTATTTCGGGTGGTGGTGTTATTCTCTAATCTGTTGTAGTGGTGTTGTTACCTTTGTGGCCCTATGTAGCTTTTCTTTTACATGAGTGATGAGTAAGGACTACTAAAATATATGCATGGATACACTCATAGTTTTTTTTTATATATTTAAAAAGATTTATGGGGTATTCTAGTGTGATAAGAAATTGGGTGGTGTGTTCTTGTTGACCATACCTATAGTATGGATGTATCCACACAACGCCATAGCATGATAATTGATCTGCACTATGGACAAAAATAAAATGAGTGGATTGAACCACACCACACCCCTATGGGTGGATGTTTTAAGTAATATACACTATAAAAAACAATATAATTTAACCATGACAATACAAAATAAATATTATATAAAATTTATTAAAATTAAGAAAAATTATTAAAATATACACATTTTAATAAAAACTAGTAGGGACCCGTATGATGCACGAGATTTGTTAAATTAAAGATAAACAATAGAAACGTGTAAGAGTATACAATTGTTTTATAGAATAATTAATAATCATTTATATTTTATATACTAATTTTAATATTTTTTTTTACAATGCAAAAATAACAATAATTAATTTTAGATAGGGATGGGGATGATTTTCCCCTCGTAGGGACGGATATGGGGAAATTTTCATCCCCATTGGTGGGGATGGGGAGAGCACCCCCTACCCCACGGGGACCCTAATCCCCCTCTATATGTTAATATTTTTAAAAATATGGTTGAATATGTTTGAATCTTTTCTAATAGGATTATAAATTTTAATTATTTTATTTTTATTTTTTAAATAAAAAAAATAAAAACATAATGGTTGACATTATAAAGAATCACGGGGAATGGGGATCCCCACAGGGATGGGGATAACTTTGTCCCCATTAGTGGGGATGGGGAGAGGCTCCTTATTCCTACCCCACCCCCATTGCCATTCTTAATCAAACTAATGAAACTGACCAACCCGATTTCTAGTATATCCAATCGGCTTTGGTTCAACAATTTTCCAACCCCACTAGGTTGGATCAATTTCGCTTTGGCCATTTGTAAATTGACTAAAATCGAACAACCTGACCATATATATATATATATATATATCATAGGCTAAAATATTTTATATCATAAATTTAATTTTTAAATTTAATTTTAAATCTTTTGAACCGACTAACCAAACTGAAAATTGACCCAAACTGATATAACCTGAGTGACCAACTCCCCAAACAGACCAGGTCGATTTGGTTGGCTAAACAATCTACAACTGAACCGAACCAACCCATGAACAATAGTTTAATCTCCAATAATTATTAAAAGTTTATAGCAAAAATGCACAATAAATTAAATTTAGAAAGGTAAATAACCATAGTTTAAACTCTAATAGTTATTGAAAATTTTCTATTAAATAACAAAAGAAAATAGACTTATACATAATTATTAAAAATATATTTATCACAAAAAATAATAAATAATTACTAAAATACAATAAATATTAATTTTAGTATATATAGAATAAGTTTTTAAAATTATTATTAATAAACAATAACTTTTTTGAAAGTTATTTCCTAGAATTATTAATTGGTACAAATGAAATTACTTATTTATAATATTATGTATTTATTAAAATAATATCATTATTTAAATTTTAAAATATTAATTACTTGTTGAATTTAATAATCTATAAAATTATAGTACCATTAATACATAATTTTGTTATTTTAACTATTTAAAAGCTAGTTATGTTAAATATTTAGTTATTTAACTAAATATTTAATATTTTAATCTATTTATTATAAATTAAAGTTATTTAGTAACTATCTAAAATATATTATTAGTTGATTTAAAATATTAATTTTAATATTTTGTTATTTAAGATATTTAGTTATTGAAATATTTAAATAATATTTCATTTTTAATGTTAGATTTTTATTTTTTGAATAACATTTAGATTGAATAATCTAGAAAATAATAATTTATATTGCTTATACATAACTACGTGATGAATTTTGTAAAAATATATAATTATTAATAATATGAATATTATTAAATAGATTATAATTATTTTTTGTCTTTTTAGTAAATATTTTAAAAGTTATTACATAATTTTGTTAGAATATTTAAATAATTCTTCAAATTTTTTTAATTCAAACTTTTTTTAGATAGATGTAGAGAAAAAATGGGAGAGAAGATAAATAAGAATTAGAGATAATTTAGGAGAGAAACTCTCCAATAAATTAGAGATAACTTAGGAGAAAGTTGGGATAGTGGGGGAGGTTGTTTAGGGGAAATTTAGGATATTAGATTATTTAGTGGCTGTTTGGTATTGTTGTCGTTTCTGGGAGCAATGGTGCCACATCAACGCCACATAGGAAAAAACGGTGCTCCAGGAAACAACCATCTATTTGGAACTGTTTTTCCATAGAAAACGGTGCTCCAAGCCACCCTTTGGAAATCGGGAAGGCATGGTTTGGAGCAATACCAAATTTGGCGTTTCTTGGAGCTGCAGCTTGTTGCTGCCAACAGGGCAATGATCTAGCACTGGATAATGGGTAGAAGTGCAGAAAACGTTTCTTGGAGCATTGGTACCAAATAGAAAAAGTTGTGTATAATAATAACTACTATATCAAATTAACGCAAATCACTATTTTCTACTATTAATCAAATATTAACAATTGATAATCATTAAAGGTTTTCTTAAGATGATGGAATTTATTCTTGCATAGATTTTGAGTGTCTCACTTGTTGTGTCTCATGTTGAATTTCTCCATGATATTATTTCCAACCTTGAGTATTAAAAGTTGATGCTGACTTGCTATGTGTTTTCACTTGCTGAATCCTCAACTCTATAAATTTCTCCATATATTCAACACACTATTCACTTTTCCATTTTAACTTACACAATTTTAATTATGTTGTTGTGGGAGAAAATAGAAGGGATTAATAGATAACATATCGCTCAAGAGACCCTAGAATGCTTTTGTTTACGTAGCTCACCAAGATAAGCCTACAAGTAGAAAGAATAAACATATTTATCCAATGGTCACTTTGACCAAAGCAATAAAAAAAACCTAGAAGATCCTATGAGTTTCACATAAGAACAATTTAGTAAGGCAAGGAAGAAGAAGAAGAAGAAGAAGAAGAACTTCCATTTCAGAAGTGTAAGAGTAGAAAGTTAATCAAAATTATCAATTCAAACTAGAGTAGGAAGCTATAACTTCCATTAGTTATTTCAACCAAACAAAATTTACGTACATGTTAACAAGCTCTTAAGGCAAGGAGGAAGAAGAAGAAGAAGAAGAAGAAAAACTTCCATTTCAAAAGTGTAAGAGTAGAAAGTTAATCAAAATTATCAATTCAAACTAGAGTAGGAAGTTATAGCTTCCATTAGTTATTTCAACCAAACAAAATTTACATACATGTTAACAAGCTCCTAAGATCTTGTTAGAAAAAAAATAATCAGTTTTTTTGATATTTAACCAAACAAAATGTACATACATGTCCAAGGATTTCGACATTCTAGAT